GTTGAACATCTTTCCCATCATTACTCAGAACTCTTTCAGATAAATTTCTTATCTCTGCTTCATTTATCTCTTCTTTTTTTTTTTTTCATTTGGAGTTTGTTTCTTTGTCTCCTCATTTTGGCTGGCTGTTTGGATTTGTGACTATGTATTAGGTAGATTCTCTTTATCTCTCAATCTCTAGTCCTGGACAGTGTCAAACACTGTTTCTGACATTAGTAGGTCAGGCAAAGATTTAAAGCCTCCAGAGACCACCTCTGCCTACAGACTGATAGGTTTCTGACTTGAATTGCCTCCTGTAGTCATCCTAAGTGTGGTGAGAGGTTTTTTTCAACAGGGTGGGGAAGTTGCTTCTGCCTGGAAGCTAATTATCTTTAGTCTCTTAAGTGGTGTCAGGATAAGGTGTTTTCGAAGAGGGTGTGTCAACTGTCTTCCCCCCAGGCAAGGCAAATATCTGTGTGGGAAAGATGTCCTCCACTGGGTGAGGGAGGAAACTGAGGGTGTCTGCTTTCTGAGCTCTAACCCCTGAGTCCCCAATCCTGGCTTCTGCTCACAAAGCTGCAGTCCACTCCGCCCTCCCTCTGCTGGAGTATAAATTGGGTGGTTCCACAGGGAATTTTGTGCATTAGCCCTTTAAGAGGGTGCCTGAGATTTCAGCCAGTCACTCTGTGGCAGACAGCAACCCCTCGTTTTCATAGCCAGATGTTATGTGGGTACCCTTCTCAGTTCTGGTGTTCTCTGCTGGAGGTGGGGGGCGGCTTGGGGATTCGATCCCAGAGTTCTCAGGCACTCTCCCCCCTCCTCCGCCCCCCCCCCCCCCCCCCCACACACACACAGCTGAGATACCTTTCTGGAATTTCAATTGCTAGCTGTGGGCGCCTGGCCAGCCCTTTCACACCCTGTGCCCCTCCTACTAGTCTCTATGCGGTCTCCACTATTGGTCCTTGGGTATCACTGTTCTCTCCTGCAAGTCTTACCTTGATTATTTAGGAAGTTTTTCTATATTTTAGTTGTAATTCCAGTTTGTTCCTGGGAGCATCCACTTTGCCACTATTTTTAATCTAAGTTGGTTTTTATAGCCCATAGTTTCTGGGACTTCTCTTCCCTGCCCTGAAAGCCTGGGCTGGGGGTCTGGTGTGGGCTGGGACTCCTTGCTCCTCACAGGCAGCCTCTGCAGAGACAATCTCCCTCCCAATTAGAAAAATGGCACACATGGGTGACGGACCAGCCAGTTCTGCATCTCAGCCCCTCCTACCAGTCTCAATGTGCTTTCTTCTCTAGTTGTAGTACTTCTATTCAGCCAACTTTCAGGTGGTTCTGAATGGTGGTTGTTCTGCATTTTAGTTGTAATGTTGATGTGGTTGTCAGAGGTGGCCTGTGTAGGCTTTTACCTATACCACCATCTTGGTTCCCTAGGGGCTCCACTGTTGTTCACCCACCAGGTCTGGAATTCACTAGTGTAGACCTTGGAGACTAAGTCCTACTGGACCTTGGAAACCCACTAAGGCTTTTCTATTCATACCACCTGGGCCAAGGAAATCAGTTCTCTGTCACCTACCATACAAGTATTGCAAGTATCAAGAAACACATGACAGCCCTGGCCAGGTGGCTCAGTTGGTTAGAGTATCGTCCCATACAACAAAAGGTTGCAGGTTTGATCCATGGTCAGGGTGTGTATGGGAGGCAACTGATCAATGTCTGTCTGTCTGTCTCCCTCCCTCCCTCCCTCCCTCCCTCCCTCCCTCCCTCCAATGGAAACATATCCTAGGGTATGGATAACAAAACAAAACAAAAAACCAATTATAACTGCTCAAAGAAAATGTATTCTGAAGGTTTATAAATTATAAATTTATGTATTATAAATGTACTATAAAAGTGAAGGTTCCCTTCTCTCGCAGAGTTTTCCCAGAGTCCATTAGGTTCTGAGAGTCACCAGTGACAGGTTTCTGCCACAGGCTGTGGAGAACATCTTCACCTCAGACCAGTCCTTCCAGAACAACTGTAACTTTGTGAGATGTGGAAGGTTTTGCTCCTGAGCAGCTATGTGATCTTTTTCTGTCCAATTGCTAGTGGCTGAGGGCTCCTATTGGCCTCATCTGGAATCCTCCAGATTCACTAGCTTTTAGAAGTGTGAGTTGGGAAGGCCATGAATAAGAAAGGAGATTAAAAAACCTAGCTGAATATGTAGTTTGACCAGTCCTAAGGAGAAAGGACAAAAGGACATCTTACAAAGGAAGTCTTCATCCCCCTGAACAGTGTGTATCTCGGATCTCCTGGGTGTGTGGCAGGAAAGCTAGAAAGTAGGTGCCTTTTTTTTTTTTACATGGGGTACCCTGGTCTCGGCTGGGGCACCCCCACCCTGGCCAGGAAGACCAGGCAGTGCTGAATTGGGCATGTTGACACTCTTCCTTGTTCTGAGAGTCAGCCCTATGGTTTGGTTTTGCAAGAGCAAGACCTTTACCTAAAGTGTCTCCCTTTTATATTATGGGTTCAGTAGCATCTCCCCATTCATAAAAAAGCCAGAGTCACAGATTTCCTGGCACAGGGTTTTTCTGATTAAAGCTCTTCCCTTCTCTAGACCTCTCCAATTTTACATTAGTCAAATATCTTAAACATTTCAATTTTTGTTAGATGTAAAATACAGAATAGGTAGTGTAGTCAATTAGAGGCCCGGTGCACAGAATTCATGTACTGGGGAGGGGGTGGTCCCTTGGTCCCTCAGCCTGGCCTGCCCCCTCTCAAAATCCAGAAGCCCTTGGGGGATGTCGAACTGATGGCTTAGGCTGGCTACCCACAGGAGTGGGCCTAAGCCATCAATCAGTTGGACATCCTTAGAGCTGCTGTGGAGGCAGGAACACACTGACCACCAGGGGGCAGCTCCAGCGTTGAGTGTCTGCCCGCTAGTGGTCAATGCGCATCATAGAAACTGGTCATTCTGCTGTTTGGGTCGATTTCATATTAGCCTTTTATTTCATAAGATTATTATATGATAGGATAATAGTGTAATACCTGTGAATGGTTCCAGATGGGTAGTAGGCTTAATTAGGGGATCACTTCATAATTTATATAAACATCTATATCTGGAACTAATATAATATTGAATGTCAACTGTAATTGAAAAATAAAAGAAGTTTTAAACAACTAGCTAGTAGTGGACGATTTCCAGGGATAAGAGTTGTACTGCATATACCTATAGATGCCATCACAGTAACATGAACAAATTGTCCATTTCAGGATGCAATGGGATGGAGAAATGTTTGGTTCCTATATTAGTTATCCATGTATGTATAACAAACCACCCCAAGCTCCAGCTTAAAACAACAATAATTACTTACTATCTTGTGGTTTCTATGGATCAGGCCTTCAGACAGGGCATAGTGAAATGGCTAGTTTCTGCTCCCCGATAGCTGGGTCCTCAGCTGGAAGACTTGAAAGCTTGTGGGGTCAGGCAACTTACTCAGAGCTGGAGATAGGCTCCCCCCACCACTGCCCCCAGTGTGGCCAGGTGGGACAGGGCTCTGTGGTGCTATCCTCCTCTGGACTCCTCTGACTTTGGTTTTATGGCTGCAGTGCTTTAGAATAAGAGCCTGGTGGGTCAGAAGTGCAGGGAAGCCTGAGCTGGGACTGGCCCCTCTGCTGTATTAGGGGCCCTTCCAAGAATGGTGGTGGGCACACACTGTGCAGGGTTTGATCTTTGGGCAGTTGATATGGCATTCTCCTTTGTGCAACTATGTCAGCTAATAAAGCAATTAGGATTTTTTTTTCTTGGTGGATAGACATTTTGGGCTGAAGTTTTCACATGAAAATTTTAATTTAGTAGGGGCCAGGACCCCAGGTGTTCAAATCCTTGTCTCCATGGTACACAGCTGTCACTCAGAGAAACCCAAACCCTCACCTCTGTCTGAGACTGATTTTTTTCAACTAATATTAACTATTTATTGTTAATTTGCAAAGCCCTTTAGTGTCTGAGGGCTCCTACTGGCCTCATCAGAGATCCTCCAGATTCACTATTTTTTGGAAGTGTTAGCTGGGGAGGCCATGGGGAGGCCTCACATGTTACCTCAGTTGTTTCTCATGGAAACTCTAAGGTGGCTATGGCATTCACATGTCAGAGAATGCAAGAGTTTCAGAAAGAATAAGCCGTTGGTCCATGATCACAGCTGCAAGGGCATTTGATCCTAATCTAGCTCACAGATTTTTAAAAACAAGCAATATGAGTTAATAAACATATTAACTTATGAGTAATAACATAATTACTTTGGAAACAGAACTCCCCAAATAATGCCTGAACCCAAAATTTGAATACAAATAGCCAAAAATATTTTAAAGTAATACATTTGAAAATCATTTGTAGTTTTTTTTCTCATAACATGAGGGGCAAGTCTGTGACAAGAGTAGATTCCCTGTTATTGTTATCACCCCATAGTAATAACATGTAGACATTTTCTGATAACATAGTAGAAAATCTTGGAGAAAGTCCTAGCTTGAGGCCTAGTGTGCAAAAAATGAAAAGATTTAATAAACAAAAGCCCTTAAGAAAAGCATTTAAGGGGCCTGCAAGTTTAATAAAACACAAGAGTTCAATTAATTTTGTGGAATTGAATTAAATTGAGTGGAATGGGAGCTGGCAGGCCTCCTACTCAGCACACTTAAAATGTGATGAAGTGGAAATGAATGCAGTCTCTGTTGGGGCGGGTAACTACAGACTCGCTGGCTCAGGCCATTTGCGTTTGCGCACTGGACAGAGGGGCGTGACTCGGGGAGGGGCGTGCAGGAGCCCGCCCCGCCCAGTTTCTGTTCCCGGCCCTGCCACTGGGGGCGGCCGTGAAGCTGCGCGGCCACGGTTTCCACTCGGACCCATATCCAGCCGGACTCATTTCCCCGGCCAGGCCCCAGTATGGCTGCGCCCAGCGCTGCGGGTTGGGGAGACGCTGCGCTCTGGTTTTCCTGACAGCCTCTGACTTCTGTGCTCGACTTCTCTTCCTCAGGCCATTCCAGCAAACATGTTTGCCAAGGCCTTTCGGGTCAAGTCCAACACGGCCATCAAGGGATCGGACAGGTGAGGGGGAAGAGGGGCCTGCTCCGACGATGAGGGCACCCAAGTACTTCTCAACCAGGTTTGGTCCAGAGCCCTCTTTGGGTTGAGTCAGGCTGCGGGGTACACCCGGGATACTTCAGGGGGCAAGTGTGGGTTAGGTGAAGATGAAAGCCTCATATATCTCCTAGGTTGCCTTTTTTTTTTAAAAAATGAGTTTAAAAGAAAACACAATTCAGGAAGTGCTTATAAAATTCAATCTAAGGCGTGGATGATGTAAAAATGAAGGAGTACAGAATCCCTGCCCTCCAAAGAGCGTAGAGACCTCTGGGGCGCAGAGAACTACAGGCACACAAGCAAAAGTGCCCAGTGCTTGCTTCTGGCAGGAGCGACAGGAGGGTGAAGTGGGAAAGGATCGCACAGCACATATGGTAAGAACTAAATATGTCAGTATTGCAAATGCAGATGTCAAGTTGGCACTTCCGGAGCCAGTGTTCTAGAGTTGTTATTCTCAGTGCCCTAGTATAGTGATGAATCATAAGCTGGCAGATTCACCAAGCACACATGAGCAAGGAGTGGATCTGAGAGCTGAGCATGGTGCCAGGAAGGCAGGGCTGAATTTCCAGTTTCAGGCTTACTTGAATGCTCACTGGGTGTTGTTTTGTTGATTTTTTCTCTTTTTTTTGTAAAATGAAAAGATTTGCCCAGGAACATGTGAAAATAGATGAGACATTGGTGTGAAATAGAATAAGATGTATAGGAAGCGTGTGCGAGAATAGAGCATTATAAATTAGTCTTTTCTTGGCTCTCGTGATTTTATAGTGCGTCCTCAATATTTATTAAAATCCACCCAGACAGCGTTCATAGCAGGCATTGGTGTGCTCTCTGCAGGAGAAAGCTTCGGGCTGATGTGACGGCTGCTTTCCCCACCCTCGGAACTGATCAGGCCTCCGAGTTAGTGCCTGGGAAGGAAGAGCTCAACATTGTGAAGCTGTATGCTCACAGAGGGGATGCCGTGACTGTGTACGTGAGTGGGGGTAACCCCATCCTATTTGAACTGGAGAAAAATCTGTACCCGACAGGTATGGCAGTAGGATGGGGATGGCCATCATTATAGCTCTTGCCTAATATCTGTTTCTCCTATGTCTTCCAGTAACTTGTCTTTCTTAAACAAGTTGAAAATCTCTCAATACTATCCCTAAACATGTTTTTGGACCTAATATTCCTAGAATTGGGTCTTCCAAGAGCAGAAACTGTTATATGAGGGAGAAAAAAAAAAAAAGTTAACACACAAAGAGGATAGTTGCCAAGGGAAATTCTGAGATGAAGTATATAGTAGGTTACTTAGGATGGAGCAGAGGTCTTGAAAGCAGATGAATATCAGGGCATGAATGTTTCTTAAAGCTACCTCTAGCAGGATTTTCATAAAGTACCAAAGACATACTATTGTAGGAAAGAAGCTAGATTGATTAAACTACATACTGGCTGGCTTAGTGATGTACTTCAGTCACGAAGATACCTCATTGGGAGTCTTTCTTAGGCTCTGCCTGGCTCTCAGGATTCTTTGCTTTCTCTCTTTGTCACAGATGTCAGAGACTGTGTTCTTTTTTGTATTGTTTTCTTTCTTTTTTAAAAATATATTTTTATTGATTTCCGAGAGGAAGGGAGAGAGAGAGAGAAACATCAATGATGAGAATGAATCATTGATCAGCTGTCTCCTGCACGCCCTCTACTGGGGATCGAGCCCACAACCCAGGCATGCCCTTGACTGGAATCGAACCTGGGACCATTAGTCCACAGGCTGATGCTCTATCCACTGAGCCAAGGCCTTTTTGTTTTTCATAGCTACGGACACCTACTTTGTCATTTGGGGCTTTCTTCCTCCCAGCTTGGCTGACACAGTGCAGTATAGTGTCCTAAGGCCACTCCTACTTTGCTGCTGTACAATCACAGGCTCTTTCTGATCTAGGATTTTATGGCTAATCACTATGGAAACAGAATAAAAATAATAAACACGGGCAAGTTCAACATTTCTTCACCTGGTGCCCTGTTCTTAGGTTACTTGCTACTGAGGTAAATGGAATCCTGTTGTGTCTGTGTCCCCACTTTTATCTACTGTGGTCATTTGCTGCTGCTGCAATCCAGGTGGAACAATAGGTGCCTCCAAATCTCAAGTGACTTCCAATTTCTTAAATCTCTGTGCCTTCAGGAATGAAATCCTTTGGGCATCTTCTCAACAACCTTTATAACTTTTGCTTTTTCTATATCCTAACTAAATCAACCTTAATGTTTGTCTTTGCCAGTTGCCCAGGGGATTGACTTTGGCAGCTAAGTGTTTTCTGTGTTTGTTTTTGGACAGTGTACACCCTGTGGTCATATCCTGATCTTCTACCAGCATTCATAACATGGCCTCTGGTGCTCGAAAAACTGGTGGGAGGAGCAGGTAAGAGGATTTTCCTATGTTCTGGCTCTTGGCTGAAACCTACTTAGTAAGGACAACGACTTTAAGAAATGTATCTATTTCCTATATTCATTCATATGTTTGAAAAATGTATTTCATCCACCATGAGTGTTGTGGCTCTCACTTGGCTGCCTCCATGAGCCCTTTGAGCCTCTCTGACCCTTTATAAAGTTTAAATAAGGTAAATGATGTGAAGGTACCTTGGGAACTGCCATATGCTATACTGTAAATCAATAGGCTGAACTTAGGAGACTAGGATAAGATAGATGTGGAGCTGGAACCTCAGCTTGGTGCTTCAATATGACCACTAGCCCGTGGCCCCCAAAGGGAAAAAGTCTGCTATTCAGGTTGCCATTTTTTAAAAAAATATGTTTTTATTGATTTTTTACAGAGAGGAAGGGAGAGGGATAGAAAGTCAGAAACATCGATGAGAGAGAAACATCGAAACAGCCGCCTCCTGCACACCCCTTACCGGGGATGTGCCCGCAACCAAAGTACTTGCCCTTGACCAGAATTGAACCAGGGACCTTTGAGTCTGCAGGCCGACGCTCTATCCACTGAGCCAAATCGGTTTCGGCAGGTTGCCATTTTAATTTTCATTATGAATAATCCTATCTAATAAAGAGGGAATATGCTAATTGACTGCCACACCCTCACAAGATGACAGCGCCCATAGTCACAAGATGGGGGGGGCCTGTCTCCTCAGTCCTGCCTCATCCATAGTCTCCCCGTTCCCTCAGCCCCTCAGAGGAAGGCATTTGGGTGCGATTAGGCTGGCAGGGGAGGGCAGTTGGAGGTGATCGGGCTGTCAGGAGGGCAATTGGGGACAATCATGCCAGCAGGGGAGCAGCTAGGCATCAATCAGGCCAACGGGAGCGGTTAGGGGGCTAGCAGGCTACAGGCAGAGTGGTTAGGGGCAGTCAGGCATGCAGGTAGGTGATCAGTTAGGAGCCTGCAGTCCTAGATTGTGAGAGGGATGTCCGAATGCTGGCAGACATTTCCCCGAAAGATCCCAGATGAGGGTGCATGCTGGGCTGAGGGACACCCCATCCTCCCCTTGTGCCCGTGCATGAATTTCATGCATCCAGCCTCTAGTCTTATATAATAAAAGGTTAATATGCAAATCAACCAAACGGTGGACTGGTCGCTGTGATGCACAGTGACCACCAGGGGGCAGGTGAAGAAATGTTGAACTTGCCCGTGTTTATTATTTTTATTCTGTTTCCAGCTCAGTGCAGGAGCTGTTCCCTGGTAGGAAGCTTGGCTCACGGCTAGTGAGCTCAGCTGGAGCCACCACTAAGGATGTCTGACCATGGCTTAGGCCCGCTCCCTACGCTGTCAGTGGGACATCCCCCAAGGACTTAGACTGTGAGAGGGCACAGGCTGGGCTGAGGGTCCCCCCTCCCTCCCTCTGAGTGCACGAATCTGGTGCACTGGGCCTCTAGTGTAGTTAATTATTACATTAATAAATATTTGTTAAGTGAATAAATAAATGATGTTAAAATGTGGAATTAGATGGAGGCAGAACATAAATTGTGATGCTTTTGTTTGCTGCAGATTTGATGCTGCCGGGAATAGTGGTGCCCCCTGCTGGTCTGCCTCAGGTACAGAAGGGTGACCTCTGTGCCATTGTCTTGGTGGGAAACAGGTATTGTGCCAACCAGCTGTGCCTTTGGGGGAAGAACTTAGGTAAAATTGGGGAGGGGCTTGGGGAATGACAACTCTCAAAGCATATGGATAAAGGATTGAGAAGGGAAAAAAAAAACAGGTTCTTCTAGAAGAGAATGGCAATGAGATATGTGAGGTATCCACACATCTGGGGCCAGTGTATTTGCCACTGAAGCTTCTTTTTTCCCCCCATAAATTTTATTTTATTTTAAAATTTTTAAATATGTATTTTTTATTGATTTCAGAGAGGAAGGGAGAGAGATAGAGAGATAGAAACATTAGTGATGAAAGAGAATCATTGATTGGCTGCCTCCTGCATACCTCCTACTTGGGGGATCAAGCTTGCAACCCGGGCATGTGTCCTTGGCTGGAATTGAACCTGGGACCCTTTAATTCGCATGCCAACACCCTATCCTCTGAGCCAAACTGGCAAGGGCTCCTAAATAATCTTAGATTACAGAGAGTTGTAAAGAGTACGGGGTTCTGCTATACCCAGCTTCCTGTAATGATCAACATTTTGTATAACCACAGTATAGTTACCAAAACAAAGGATTTGTACAATACCATTAACACAATTACAAACTTTATTTCAGTTTTTCCACTGACGTCTTTTTTTTTGTTTTGCTTCAAGGATTCAGTCTAGAACAGTGGTCGGCAAACCGCAGCTCATGAGACCCATGCATCTCGAGAGCCACGGTTTGCCACTCTGTTGACTAATGAGTTTGCCAACCACTGGTCTAGAATACCACAGTGTATTTAGTTGTCATGTCTTCTTAGCCTCCTGTCTGTGACATTTTCTTGATCTTTCCTTATCTTTCATGAAGTCCATACTTTTTCCCTATCATCCACCTCATCATCCTCATTTCATTTTTTCAATAGCTTGGTTGAAATGTAGTTTACATATTATAAATTAATCTGTTTCTAAATTACAATTCAGTGCTTTTTAGTATACTTACAGCATTGTTCAGCCATGACCACCCTGCTTTTTAAAAATAATATAGGAAGTAATGATAAGAACTATTCTGAAAAATAAAAAATTCCTGTATCTCATAATCTTTTTCTCCTAGGAGTAACCATCTCATGTTGAGGCATATCTTTGCCAACCTTCTTCAGTGCATAGATGCATGTGCATATAAAAATGTATGAATGTTTAAAACTATGAACAAACAGAATTATACTTTATATTGTTTTCACTGATGCTAGTGTGGGCATTTCCCGTGTAAGCAAGCCCAGATATACTGATTCCTCTTACCTACTCTGTCATGATGGGAGAGGTCCTTTCCTAGTGGATATTCTGGTGTCTCCAATTTGTTTCTATCAAAAACGGCATCTTAGTGATGCCTTAGAAATACCAGTGCCAGTGTTTTTCTAAAGTAGCTACTACCATTGCCCTACAAAAAAGCTATATCAGTTTTCACTCCCACCTCTGGGTGTGATTTCCCTACATTCTCACCAGCTCTGGATACGACGGGTCACTTTCATTTGTGTCATCTTGAGTGAAAAATGACATCTCATTATTTTACTCCTCACTTCTTTGACAAGAACAGGTCAGTGTTTAAAGATCTTACTTTTACTATTGATATTCTCCAATTTGTCTTGAACCTTTTGGAGCCATGCAGGTAGAAGTGTTTCCTTCCTTGTTTACCTGTAGCAAAATTTGCAATTGAAAAGAATGGCAGTGTTGTTGTTTTTCCCCTCTGGTATTTTGTAAAAGAAAGGGGAAAACTCCATAAATATGTATTTGGCCTGCCCAGTTTGGCCTTTTGAATGCATATGGGGATGAAGCTTGGGGGTAGTTTGTGGCAGGTTAAAGGTACAAAGAAGTTGTTAAAACTACAAGTTCTCTTTGAGGCTGAAGTTCCTGAGTTTCTGACCCAATGGCTGGAAAGACCCCTCATTTAAGAGCTGGGAAAGAAGCCAGATTCAAAGTTTCTGTGGAAATAACTGACCTATGGGCCCAGAAAGCTGTTAAATTAGTAAACATTTTTTCAAGTTCAGGTATTGGGAACTATGTTCTTGAATCTTCTCGCTTGGGCCCCGGTGACCTTACCCCACAGCTACCCAGCTGTTCACTGATCCTTACAAGCAATGTGTGAGCGATGCTTTAGTAACACTGGGATGACAGAGATTTCCCATTTGGGCTTTGCAAGTTTTTGTAGTTACTATAAATGTGGTGGTTTTGACGTTCTGGACACACTCAGTTCCTAGATAGTTACACAGAGCAAATCCCGTTATAAAGAGTCAACTCAGAAGGAACCTCTTTAGTTGGCGCCACTATTTATCTCTCCTCCCTTCTTTATGATATTCTTTAGTCTAACTATGGCTTATGAATGGCCTCTTTTCTGAACTTAGGTATAGGATGGCTATGCTTTCTTTAAGGTAGGGAAGTAATTTATGTTTTTGAAAATAAAGAAAGGGAACTTTAAATATACTCTCATGGGTTTAATGACCTGTCTGGGTTTAATTCATAATGGGAATAAACAAAAAGTGTCAACATCAACAGAGGAATTGCTTAAAAGAAAGAGAATATTTGGTCAAGGGCTTTTTGAAAGTCATATTTTTAGGCAAGCTGAAGAAAATTGAGATTTCTGTGATCCAAGTGGATGCTTTAGATTTTCAACCATGTTGCTTTTAGCATATGTGTGGAAAGGTGGTACTGACATGCTCCCTGGAAGATGCTCCAGGATCTTTATCTCTGCCTTCTTCTCAGGGCCCCTGTTGCCATCGGAGTGGCTGCCATGTCCACATCGGAGATGCTCACTTCAGGCCTGAAAGGAAGGGGTTTCTCTGTGCTCCACACCTATGAGGACCACTTGTGGTGGGTCTGCTCTTTTTTTCTGTTTTATGGGGAGCTGCATGGGTTGAGAGAACATGGGGCCTGGGTTCAGAAGTTAGAGTTTTTTGGTACCTTCTGGGTCCTTAGGCAAGTTGCTGACACAGGCATTAATTTATATACATATATTTGCCTGTCTGGAGAAGAAATTAGAGAGAACTCTTAATTATTTTCTTGGCGGATTATAGAATCCTAGGCTTTGAATAAGGCCTTAGGGATTGTCTGCTCCAACTCTCAATGCAGTTATAATCTTTATTTTTATAGCTCTGGTCCATTGGGCCTTGTCTGCCATCACATTTAGGCATCTTTTGTCCCCATGATAAGTGCTCAGAAATTCTCATTTCTGAATCCAAATCTAAGCAGAGTAGATCCTTTAGGCACCAAGGTGGTGATTATTATGTTGAGGTTTTACATTCCAGATCTCTCCAGTAGGGAAGTTATTTCTCACTGTAACAGTTGCTTTCTGAAGCCATGTACCAGTCTATTTTCTGGTTATTTTTTTGTTACTTTCCCAAAACAATACATAGTGCTTTTCTCAAAAGCCTTATACCTGGTCTTTTGGCCAAGTGTTGTAGCCTGCTGATATAGATTCATCCTTACATTCTTGGCCCTTCTTGGAGTTGCTCATTTTACAAATATTAGCTAAGCCTTGCTTTGCTGGGGATACAACCTCATCAGCTATGTTTCGCAGACATTTGCAAACTGCTTACTGATATTCGTACAGCACCTTGCAGACAATGTCATCCTAAGTTGTTTTATCAGCAGCTCCTCAGCCGCTATTCTCTCCCTCCTTTTAAAAATATTTCTGATATTGATCTGATCAGAATAGCCTAACCATACACTCTGGCATCACTAGTCACCAATAAGCCTTGCTGCAGCTGTTAGTTAAAACTTAGTTTGATTTACATAATTTTGATCAAGCTTGGCTTGGCGCTTTTACCTCTTTCTGTGCTCTACTGTTTGGCATCACTTATTTTTTCTTCCTAAGGCTTAGTGGCATAAACCCTTTTTAATCTCTACTCTGCAAGTTCGATTGCATTCTGCTTTAGCAGCAGGTGGCTTTGCAGTCCTTGAGCATTGCAGGTGGTTTGTACTTTGTTATATTCTCGGAGCCTTGGATATTTGTATTTCACCAAACTAGGCTTACAGATGCATTACGATCTTAATTTTGTTCTTTAATTCAAAATAGTTTTATTTTTAACTCATATGAATAGAATACTTTTGGAGGTTCTCTTTAATTATTTTTCCTTTAATCTTTTTCTGTCTCCAGATGTCTGTTAATAATATTATTATTCCTTTGAAATAGAGAGGAGTCAAGAATTATTCTCCCCATTTCAGAGATGAGGAAGTTGAGGCATGTGACATTTCTGGTCACAGAACTGGAAATAGAGTTTATATGAGACTCCAGGTTCTCTGTCCTCTCCTGGACACCCTCCTCAGCCTATGGCTCTTACTCACTCTGAATTCCTGGCTGAATCCTGACCAGGTTGGGAAGTGCTGTGTTTGGTGTTTCTGACATGAGCTTTTTCCAGGCAATCTGGAGACAGGTCCTCTCCGCCTTTTATTGCCCCACTGACCCCGGATCCCCCACATGTCAGTGAAGAGCAGGATGACATGAGGCGCCTTACCCTGGAAGGAAAGGAGGAGGAGAATGGGGAAGATCAGCAGATGTGTGGGCAGAAGACCCTACCAGAAGCCTCAGAAGACCCTGGCAACGGGGGCCTGAATCCAGACCCTGCAGATAGCAAAACCCTTCAAGGTATAATGCTGGGAGCGGGGGACCATCCTCTCAGTTTAGGAGCCTGAAGTGAGCAACACTGGGCCTCTGGGAGGGGAGGCCACGTCCTTATTTCTGTTGAGGCGGTGCAACAGCTTTGTGACAACAGCTTTGTGTGGCCCCTGGGAGTCTTCTCCACACAAGTCAGGCTTCCCTGGGGCGTCTGCCCTCGCATTTGGACGGTTTCCAGTTGCTGGAAGTGTTGGCTCCTGGCTGGGTGGGACTTTGTGCTTAACTCCTTCTCTGGGGTCAGCCCTCTTCAAGGCTCCGTGCTCTAGGGAGTCTGGGAGTTTTGGAACCTGGGGATAGGTTCCGTGGGTAAAGTGGGGTTGGGTTGGAGCTGGGCGGGAAGTGCCAGGCATCTGTATCCCCCAGGAAGGATGAGGTGTTTTGTCTTCTCCTTGCAGAGCAAATGGATGAACTGCTACAGCAATGCTTCTTGCATGCTTTGAAGTGCCGAGTCAAAAAGACCGACCTCCCTCTGCTCACCAGCACTTTCCTCGGTAGCCACGTGTTCTCCTGCTGGTATGGAAGGCATGTGTGGGCGGGCGGTGGCCAGGCACAGTCTCTGCCTTATTCCAGGACAGGGCTGATGGGGAATTGGACGAAGGACACATGCTGGAAAGAGTGGAGTGCAGGGTTGATCTGGTAAATAAAGTAAATCCTAAGTTTTATTTTATTTATTTATTTATTTTTTTTTACAGAGAGGAAGAGAGAGGGATAGAGAGTTAGAAACATCAATGAGAGAGAATCATCCATCAGCTGCCTCTTATACACCCCCTACTGGAGATGTGCCCACAACCAAGGTACTTGCCCTTGACTGGAATCGAACCTGGGCCCTTTCAGTCTGCAGGCTGACGCTCTATCCATTGAGCCAAACCGGTTTCGGCAGTAGGTCCTAAGTTTTAAAGCTTAAATCTTAGCCAGCGAAAGGATGCTGAGGAAATGAACAGTGATTTCAGGGCACTGCTCTGCTGTGGTGCTCCTGGCAGCACGTTCTATCCAGGAAGAGTCCCGAGAGGCCTCTTTGTCAGGAGGCTTCTTCTGGAAAGTCAACCCCCTTACTCTCCTCCTGAGAAGTAGGTGGGCTGGGTTAGTTTATATCAGGAGGAAAAATTAGTATGCTCTCCACCTCTCCTAAGCACCGGCCATCTGGAGAGGGAGTATCACTGTGGATAGGACTGAACTTTGAAGACAGAGCCATCTGAGCTCAAATGGCAGCTTCATAAGGAGTGGGAGCAGGCAAGCTCAAACTCAGCTCTGGGCTTCTCTCATTTTGAGCATAGCCTGCCCTGGCTGGTGTGGCTCAGTTGGTTGGACATCATCCTATGCTCTGAAAGATTGCTGGTTCGATTCTCAGTCAGGGCACAAGCCCAGGTTATAGACTTGATCCCTAGTAGGAGGTGTGCTGGAGGCAACTGATCATTGTTCCACTCGCACATCGATGTTTCTCTCCCTCTCACTTTCTCTCTTTCTAAAAATCAATAAAAATAAAATCTTAAAAAGAGAGAAATTAAATAGCCTCACACTTAGTAAGCACTTAATAAAGAACATGTCAGGAGGTTTGCTTACTGAGTTTTACCCTGAGACTGACCTTCTTTTTGTAAAGGCTTTCCTAGACAAGAGTGGGGTCTGTAGTGTGTGGCAGGCATTTGGTCATTGGCCCTGACTTCGCTGGTGGCAGGTAACTGAGGGGCCCTGAATGTGCTCCAGATAGAGCTTCCTAACGGGGTTTCTGGAAGGACTCCCTGGGAGTCGCACTGCTGGTGTGTGGCACACATGGAGAGAAGATGGAAGCTATGGAGAGTGTTCATTGGGAGCCTCCCCTGTGAGCTAGTAGCCCTAGGGCAGGAACCAGCAAACATTTCTGTAGAAACAGGTAGTAAATGTTCCAGGCTTTCTGGCCGTGCAGTCTCCATTGCAAACATTCCACTCGGGGTTGTAGCACAAAGGCCAAGGCCGTGGAGTTAGCAGCTGGGTGGGCATGGCCTGAGGATATAATTTGCAGAGTCCTGTTCTAGGCTCACTTACCACCATGAGCTCATTGTTAGAAAGGTTCACCTTGAGGTGGAACTTCTGAGGCCTCAGAAAGTTGTCTAGTTTCAGAGGAATCCAAAGCTGTGTCCATTATAGTGGCTATTTAAGTTAATTAAAATGAATAGAGTTTAAAATTTAGTTCTTTAGACACAGTCACATTTCAAGTGCTTAATCGCCACACTTGTAGAATAATAGTGAACACTCCATGTTCATGGAGGGGTCTGTCGGACAGTAAAGATCTAGAGTAGCCTGGAATGTGTCCCATTGCAAGGCCACCAGGGGGAGCTCTGGCACAGTGGCCTCTTTCTGAACGTGGGGGAGGAGGGCTCAGCAACCTCCACAGTGCAGGCAGGTCCCACCACTCTGGCTCGGTGAGCTTAACTTGCCTTTTCCATCTGCCATCAGCCCTGAAGGACGGCAACTGGACATAAAGAAGTCAAGCTACAAAAAAGTAAGCAGGCCCTTCCTTCTCTGCACACCCACAGAGAGTTGTGTTGGGGCACACGTGGCAGGAGCTGGGTGGGCACAGGAAGCCCGTTCTCCAGGGCTGAGGCTGGAATTAAACTTTTAATTCCAGGTGTAAGGTGGGGACGGGGAGAAAACTCCTTGGGCTGAGGCAGTGGGTGGGCACCCACTCCCTTCTCTCCTCTGCACCCTTTGATATATGATCAGAGTTTGGAAAGGCTTCACCATTTAGTCTGTAGCAGCTTCTCACCCCCTGAGCCTCTGGGTGGGGGCCTCCCCATTCCTAATTTGATGAGAGCAGGGACTGTCCCGAGTCCTTCCCCAGGACCTGCCTAGCTCGGTGTCTGGCACATCCTATATGCTCAGTGTGTGCAGAAGTGACAAAGTCCCCTCCCACTGGCCCTCTCTCCCTTAGCTCTCTAAGTTCCTGCAGCAAATGCAGCAGGAGCAGATTATACAGGTCAAGGAGCTGAGCAAAGGGGTGGAGAGCATTGTGGCTGTGGACTGGAAACACCCCAGGTGAGTGCAGGGGGCCTGCTCACCGTAGCTCAGCTGGCCCTGGGGCACTGGGGCCATGGACTGGGACTTGCAGAGACACTAGTATAAAATGTGTTTTTTCTTTTCTTCTGCTGGGTTTTAGGATCACATCTTTCGTCATACCTGAGCCCTCCCCGACTTCCCAGACTATCCAGGAGGGTAGCAGGGAACAGCCCTATCACCCTCCAGATATAAAACCCCTCTACTGTGTCCCAGCCAGCATGAGCCTGCTCTTCCAGGAGTCTGGCCACAAGTGAGTTTTTGGAGAGCAGCCCTTCTCTGCCTGCTTGGTGTTCTGGCCTGTAGTTCCTCTCTGCCTGAGTAGTAGTATTCTGTGACTGGCAAAACCTCCCTGCCCTGTTCTCCCTTTCTCCAGATCCAGATCAAGCTTCCTTCCCAGAAAGTGTCTCTGGACTAAATGAGAGAGTAGGTCTCTCCCTTTCGTACCTGTAATTACTCCTCACACTGCCCTGCTTATTAGCTCCATCAGGAAGAGGGAAGAAAAGAAGAGGTTGAATAGCTGGGGAAAGCACCCTGCTGAGCAGGGGGTGAGTCTTGGGATTTGCAGGTTGTCTCCTGGCACACCATGAATTAACCCCCAACACTTCTCACCAGGAAGGGGAGCGTCCTCGAGGGCAGTGAGGTCCGGATGATCATCATTAACTACGCCAAGAAAAATGACCTGGTTGATGCAGACAACAAAAAGTGAGTGGATCTGTAGTGTACATCTTTAGGGACTCAGACAATTTGTGGAGGATGTTGGGATGGAGAGGCATATAGAAATAATCAAGACCAGGGTTTCTAAACCATGAGTGGAGACATCTAGATATTGTCTAGGGCAGTGGTCGGCAAACTCATGTCAACAGAGCCAAATATCAACAGTACAATGATTGAAATTGCTTTTGAGAGCCAAGTTTTTTAAACTTAAACTTCTTCTAACGCCACTTCTTCAAAATAGACTCACCCAGGCCGTGGTATTTTTGTGGAAGAGCCACACTCAAGGGGCTTAAGAGCCGCATGTAGCTCTTGAGCCGCAGTTTGCCGACCCCAGGTCTAGGGTGTTCAGTTCCATGTTTGATGTCAACATTGGCTATAGACTGGGAAGTATTAGACCTATCTACTATTAATTTTCAAATGCAGGAGCTTATTGGGAGTGATAAAATGCAAACCTTAAAGAATTACAGCTTTTTGGTCTTTTTAAAAAAAGTTTTTTTTTTTATTGATTTCAGAGAGGAAGGGAGAGGGAGAGAAAGATAAAAACATCAATGATAAGAGTATCATTGATTGGCTGCCTCCCGCATGCCCCCCACCTGGGATTGAGCCCACAACCCAGGCATGTGCCCTTGACTGGAATCGAACCCAGGATCCTTCAGTCCATAGGTTGATGCTCTATTTACTGAGCCAAACCAGCTAGGGCTTCTCTGTTTTCTTAGTATAAGTGGATACAGAAGATAAACTACTAAATGAAAAGCATCCTATAATATTTTTATTTTAAAGTCAGGTTCTTTTACTTTGAATTTTTATTGATTTCAGAGCAGAAGGGAGAGAAACATCAGAGATAAGAATCACTGATCAACTACCTCCTGCACTCCCCACACCCCAGGCATGTGTCCTGATCAGGAATCGAACCGTGACCTCCTGGTTCATAGGTCAATGCTCAACCACTGAGCCACTCCGGCCTGACTTATTTTTACTTTTAAAAGACATCAAAAAGTTGTACTGGCCAACTTATAGTTAGCTAGTAGCAGAACTGAGCCAAGACTCCTGGTCTTCAGTTTTCCCCCTGACAGTCCGCTTCTCCCTTGTTCTGGGAAAGCACACTTGCATCTCCCATCACGGGGTGCATTGTTTCTTGGAGTGTGATCCCACTTTGGTTCTAGTTATCCTGACTAAAAAGGTTGTTATGACAGGTGAATCCTGAGCTGGCCCCTGGGTCAGAAGGGGCGAGGCTAGGACTGCTCTGTTAATAGCCTCTTCTTTCTCTTCAGTCTTGTGCACTTGGATCCCATCCTGTGTGACTGCATCTTAGAGAAAAATGAACAGCACACAGTCATGAAGCTTCCATGGGACAATCTTCTGACCAGGTAATGGGGAAGACCACCCCTCTCCAAAGTTTCAGCCCCTCCCCCAGCACATTGAACTTTAGAATCGTCACTGTCTTAGTTTCTGACTTTCCATAATTCATATCTCATCAGTCTAAATAAACAGGCTCGGGTAATTCTCATGAGAAGGGTCTTTGGAATGACATGAGGCAGCACAATAGAGGAGAACTTGAGAGGGAGAAAGAAAAAGAACACTTTAAGAATAAGAACTCCAGAGAGATGTGGAAGCAAAAGAAGATGTAGAAGGAAGTGTCTTAAGTCTTTAAAGGAACTATTCTTACACTCTTTCTTTTCACAGAACCAAAACTGAAAATAATTTGTCAATAGTTTGCAGACTTACAGCCGTGGGTCAGATGTGCAAACAAGGTTTTGTTGGGACTCGGCCACGCCCATTCACTTATGTTATTGTTGCGGGCTGCTGTTGGTGTCACAATGGCCGAGTCGAGTGGTTGCAACAGAGGCCACATGGCCCTTAAAGCCTAAAGTATTTACTGTCTGACCCTTGATAGAAAAACCCCTATTTGTCAAAACCCATATATGTAATGGCAAAGAGAAAATCTGGCTAAATAAAAGGCAGAAATTCCTTGTGGTAAAGGCATTCTATAATGTGCACTATTGCAGCATGTCGGAAATGTGACACTTCGCCAGCCTGGGAAAGTAGAGTTTTAAGACAGGTAGTAAGTCCATAAGGAAGCCTGGGCAAATTCTCTGAAGGCCAGGCCAGTTGGCGGGGCTCACTCGCTGAAGTTCCCTTCCCTGAGTATGAGTGGGTCTCAACTTCAGCTGCACCTGGCGAGTTTTAAAATACATATATACTTGGTTAGTTTCTGATTTAAATGGTCAGGGAGCAGCTCCGTAGGTGATTTGAATGATTCATGAGCAGCCAAGGGCAAACCACTGCCGGCTGGTGGTGGGAACGAGGCAATGGTTCCTAGTGGCTCTGTCAGCCCACAGCTCATTGATTCCCGTTTCAGATGTTTGGAAAAATTGCAGCCTGCCTATCAAGTGACCTTTCCCGGACAAGAGCCTATTGTGAAGAAAGGCAAAATCTGCCCCATTGACATCACCCTAGCACAGAGAACTTACAATAAAAAGGTAATTTTAAAAAAGACACAATGTTTGAAAATGGTCTCTAATGTGGTTGGAGGTTTCAGGCCTCAAATACCACAAAGGTGATTTATGAAATACCCATGTTTGTGGGGCTGGGCCCCATATAAAGCAAGTAAAGCTGACCTCTCACTCACTGACCTCTAGGATTTTGTGCCAGGAAACTGGCCAGAGCCTGGTTCCAGAGGTAAATAAAGAATTGCTAAGGAACTGACCGTGTTTGGCCACAGAGTCTTGGGAAGCATTCCTGGGGAAAAGGTGTGCACACTGTGCCTCGAGGAGACAGCAGGATGGCTGGGCAGGAGTCCCAAGCAGACAAACTTGGGTTCAAGATAACCTTCTGATAGTGTAGGGTTATGGGATTAGAGACCTGGGTTCACATGTGGCCTTTGCTTTGCTGCTTGACTTTGAACAAGTTAATGTCTTTCTTTTTGCCTAAGTTTCCTTATGCAAAAAGATGGGAATAATACCTACCTGATCAGGCACCGTGAGGATCAGCGAAGGAATATAAGCATGTGTATGTGTAATAATCTAATATATATATATTAGGTTATTTAATAATTAACACTCATTTTATATATTAATAATTAGAATTGTCCAAAATTGAAATTGGTGTTTTCTAAAATAGGGAGTTATTTTCTGGAAGTCTGCAAACATAGATTAGGCAGCCACTTGTTCATGCATTTGGTAGAGGTTGGAATAGATGTGATTTCTAGTGTCTTGTTGATTCTGAGAGTCTCTTAGGGCTGGAGCCCCTGGGCAAACATAGGTTATTTGGAGCTTTTACGGTCTTTACTGAAAGCATCTGTCCCCAGCCCTCTCCTGATAGTAATGTCCTATACCATCTCCAGTCATGAATGAGAGAAAATGTGTTTTAAAGAAATGGTAGAATTGTGACACTTAAAAGTATTAATATTTTTCTTTTTCATCTCAAAGTCACATGTCACTTGTGAAGTTGATGAAAAATAGAAAATGCATGTGTTACTGATGAGATACTTGGTATTAAAATTGTTTATTTTTAGGTGTGATGATAGTTTTGCCTTTATGATTAAAAAGCTCTTATGTTTTGGAGGTATACACTGAAATGTTTGTGTATGAAGTGATCTGATGTCTGGGAGGATTTGCTTTAGAGTAATATAAGGGGGGTAGTGGATGAATCAGGTTGGTTATGATTTGATAACTATTGAAACTGGTGGTGGGTATGTGGGAGTTCGTCATGCTATTCTGCTTTTCTTTATGCTTAAAATTCTCCATAATCACACTTTTTAAAAAGGTATATATTATGTATGTGGGATATAAAATATCCCACTAAATATATAACATATATTAAATGTACAAGAATCAATTTAGAAGTAAAAAATAAAGTATTTGGGTGAAAAGACACCATGGTTGTAAGGATGGTGAACATAGGGGGTGTTGAGTCTGCTAGCAGGCCTTCTGGAGGGAGGGTATGTGTCTGCACCCGACATCAGTTTTTTGTTCCCCCAGGTGACTGTGGTCCGGAATTTGGAGGCCTACGGTCTGGACCCATGCACAGTGGCTGCCAAACTGCAGCAGCGATGCCAGGCTAGCACCACTGTCACTCCTGACCCTGGGGCTAAGGACAGCCTGCAGGTCCAGATCCAGGGAAACCAGGTCCATCACCTCGGCCGGCTGTTGCTTGGTGAGCATCCCCTCTGAAGAAGCAGAGACACTGATCTCACTTGGCAAAAATCTTCCCATCCTCTGTATATGGCCACACAGTTTTTACCAGCCAACAAGAGGTGGAGCTAATGCAACAGATCCTTTGGAGTAGTTTTCTCCCAGGTCCTTCTCTTTTTATAAGCATTGTTGGCACCTAAACTGCTAGGCACTTGCAGGGCTTTTTGCAGGTGTGACCTCTCTAATGGTAATGAAGCTGCAGAACTGGTTCTGTTTTGCAGATGAGGAAACTGAGGCTCTGAGAGGGTCAATGCCTTGCCCTAAGATAGCTACTGACTGCTGCAGCTGGGCTCTGAATTTGTCAGACTAGAGCATACTGGGCTGCGAGTTTGACATGCTTGCTGTAGAGCCAAGTTCTTTCGACCAACTCTGGGTCACACAGCCTCTAGTTTGTCCTCAATTCAAACTGCCTTCTGCATTTCTGCCTGAGTCAGTTTCCTAAAACAAGTGTGATTACATCACTCTGCACTAAAGAGGCAAAAATAACTTTAGAGGAATCAGAAACAAGGCCCTCCCAGCCTGACCCACCCCAGGCCTCAGCCACTGGCCTCTGCTGTGCCCCAGACACACCACGCACATTCACACTTGGGTACTCACCTGGCGTGGCTCCCACAGCCAACTCTGCCCGGCCCTAAAGGCTCATTGGCAGGCTTAGGGGTCACGGGAAGCCTGTCTCAGAGCTTATTTTAGGAAGCAGAAAAAAATGGAATAAGAGTTTGAAAAATTGCTAATGTAGCACTTTCCAGTTGTATTTATAGTTCTGGTTAGTGTCTGCAGCTTGGCTAATTTTTTCTGTCTGAACTTCCTGCTGAGCGTCTTAAGTCAGAGACCTTGTCCCTTTCATCCTTTATTCATACTCAGGGCCTGGCACATAGTAAATGCTCAATAAGCAAATTTATTTTATGATAAGGCAGTAATCAGCAGTTAGCTTTTATAATTGAGCCTTTTTAAGTGAAGAACCCTGTATGAGGTGCTGAGAGAAATACAGAGGAAAACACACAGTCTCATGAGAAGGTTCTAAATGCCTGAAGTACACTTAGCAAATAGCTATCAGTGTGAAAATTACCGAAATTCACACATACCTCCACATCTAGGAAAAACACTTCATCCCAGAAGGCTTCTGTAGGACCGAGTTTGAACAGTGCAGAAGAGCAGATCCATGGGGGGGATGGTTTGAACAAATGGTCAACAGGAATGAGCACCCAAGTGATGAGAGGGCCAGGAGGTAGCTGTGGGGGAGGGGTGGGGGGGGCCGCCCATGGGGTTGGGGCCAAGGAGGGACCTTGTGAGACAGAGCAGGGGCTGTGGGAGGGCAGGAGGGGGAGTTCATCCCCCACTGACGAGTTCCTGCGTTTTGGATTGTAGAAGAATATCAGCTTCCTCGGAAACACATCCAAGGCCTAGAAAAGGCCCCCAAGCCTGGCAAGAAGAAGTGACAGACTCTTGCTTCATGCGGTCAATCCTGTGGAATCCAGGTTCTCGGCTGCTCACTCATAGGAGCATTTTCAGCTTTTGCAAACAAAAAATATATAATTCTTTACCAGAATAAATTTTTATTCTAATCTAAATCTGATTTCCCTCTTGTTTCCTCCACTTGGCTAAAATGTACTAAATTTTCAAGCCAGGAGCCGTTTTACCCAACAGAAGAGGCTAAAGTGCCTTTCCATTCATGTGGCTTCAGTGGTTTGGGTTCCTCCCTGGTTCTCAAGTCCAGGCGGCCACCAGAGTGCAGGCAGGTGAGGCCTTCTTGTTAGTTTGAAGTCCCTCTGACAAATAATCCACAGCCTCTTGCTCATCTATTCCTACTACCTCACTAACCTCCCAGCCCCCAAAAATGCTTCCCATCTCAAAGGGTTATTCATAAAGAAAGCAGAACCCAGCTGTTTTGTCATCAACCCAGGCAAAAAAGGCAAGGACTGGCCCTGAATTACAGCAAAATTTAAATTCTAGGACGCAGGTTTCCGTCCAGTGATTCTTCCCAGCGTTAGTGCACCGCCACTAGCAGTGGTGAACTGATGCGGCCTCCAGGTGATGGCTTCCTTATTGTGAAGGCTTATCAGGCAAATGCTTTCTAAACTTCCTAACCGGGGCTTCTGCTAATGAAGCTGATTTTCAGAGGGGCCACGAACTCCCTGAAATAGTACACCAGGTTTTGTTTGATCGTTTTCCCAAGAGGTTACCAGGCGTTTGTTGCATTCCCAATGGAACACTTGATGCAAGAATGTCCAGATCCATTGCCTTGGTCCCCGCTCAGTTCACGGAAGTCACTTCTGTGGCTGAACTCCTGTAAAATTGGAGGGAGAAGGGCTGAGCTGAATCCCTTTAGGGTTCTTTAGGTTGTACCATCAAAAACAATTATACTTCAACTTAATTTTTTTTTTGTCATCTCATTTTTTAAAAGAAATAGAGATGCCCAGCTGGTGTTGCTCAGTGGTTAAGTCAATCTATGAACCAGGAGGTCTTGGTTTGATTCGGCCAGGGCACATGCCTAGGTTGCAGGCTTGATTTCCAGTGTAGGATGTGCAGGAGGCAGCTAATCAATAATTCTCTCTCTTCTCTGAAATCAATAAAAATATATTTTAAAAAGGAAAAAAGAAAAGGGAACCCTCATGCCCTGCTGGTGGGAATGCAGATTGGTGCAGCCACTCTGCAAAGCAATATGGAGGTTCCTCGGAAAACAAAGTAGAATTACCATGACCCAGCAATCCCACTTCTGGGTATTTGTGTGAAGAAAACATAAATGCTAACTTAAAACTATATCTGCACCCCTGTGTTCATTGCAGCGTTATTTACAGTAGCCAAGACATGGAAGCAAGCTAGGTACCAATCGACAGACAATTGGATAAAGGCATAACACAGATAATGAAACATTAGCCATAAAAAAGAGTAAAAATCTTGCCACTTCTGACAACATGGATGAACCTAGAGGGCATCATGCTAAATAAGTCAGACAAATACTGTAGGATTTCACATTTATGGGAAATCTACAAAAACAGACTCACAGATACAGAGAATAAACTAATAGTTGCCTGAAGGGAGGGCATGGAGGGATGGATGACAAAGGTGAAGGAGAATGAGTTGTAAACTTCCAGTTAAAAAATAAATAATTCATGGGGATGTAGTATACAACACAGGGACTATAGTCAGTATCATAATGACTTTGCTTGGTTACGGATGGTTCTAGACTTAACTGTATCGCTTTGAAAGGTATAGATTGTCCGATCACTGTGTTGTACATCATACTGATAACGTGTGTTGCTTATACTTGAATCATAAAAAATAAACTGGAAGCAGAAAAAGTAGTAGAAGAATCCTTGCTTACCTCAGTAGCTGGTCCTGGAGTTTAATCCTCCTCAGCTCCAGAAAGCCCGTCTCTTCTCACTCAGCGTCTTTCCTCCCCTGCTCTGTGGGGATGTCAAGTAGCCGGTCACCTAGCAGCACTCTCCGCCATGGATTGGGGCAGTTTCCTCAAGATTTGAACAGTAGCTTCACGCCTCTGTCCGCTGGCAAAAGAAAATCTGACACTGCCAAGAAGAGTGTGCTCGTCTCGGATCCCACCGCCCTCCAGCTCCCAAGTTTCATGAGAAGGTCAGGTTCAAAGAAGAGGTCTTCAGTCTGAAACACTTTTGCAATTAACTTTTATTACTTTTTTTTTTTTTTTAAACCCATATAGGAAAGGCATTTAATGAGAAAATATTCTCAAAACAAACACACTGGGTAACAGGAGGATAGAAGGCACTACCAGCAGTCATGCCCTCCCCGGGAGGGAGGGGATATTTGGTCCATCCTGTTTTTGGAGGCTCGGACCCTGGGTCCTGGGCTAACTGCTTCAGATAAAGTCTGCATTTTCCCATAACGTTCTTATTTCATAAACATCCCTCTCTTCATACATAGCTTTATATACATAGCCTTTATGGTATACATGTTCATGAGTTTTGTTTTCTTCTTTCTCAAAAATAAAGTAGCCACCCCCGTCAGGAGGTTCTCAGCAGCATTCATAGCGTTGCAGCAGGAGCCGTGCCTTCTATCCGTGGTAGAGACATGCAGCATGAAGGGAAAGGACTCAACCGCTCCCTGAACTACACAGCAGGAGAGGCTTTTGGGGGGAGTGCTAAGGCTGAGCGTGAGATGGCAGACCAGAGTGTTCGTGGTTAAAATCCCAAGCTGCCAGCCTGCCTCGCTTCTGCACCTCTGCAGACTAGCACAGCCGGTACGATGAAGGGTCAGCATTCCTTCTGGGGTCAGGGCAGTGTGGACTCAGCGAGGCTGCACAAAGGAATCTGGGCTTGAACACCAGGGGGTCCTGGGAAGGCAGAGGACATCGAAGAAAGGTCTCTCAGAGGCCTATTGAAAAAGCTGCCCTGCTTTCTCCCTCGCACTGGAGTGTCTGCATCCGGCTAGTACTTGCTTGCGCTGTGTGGCTAGTGTACTTTAAAGTTTGGGCTGAAACAAGGAACCAGTACAAGTGAGAGTCAGGAATCTGATCCGCCCTGTCAATGTAGCTTGACATTTCTTATGGGAATCAAAGCCCAGGAACTTCGATGGGAAGAAGGCTTGACCCTGACCCCTGACCTCTGACACAAAAAGGGAGGGCTCCCGGGCCTTGTCTCCCACACCGCGGTGGCCCACTTCCTGGCAGGAACAAGCCTGCAGCAAAGCTTCAAACAAACTCCCTGCTCACGTCTCTGAAAACAAAAAGGCACTGAGGTCAGCGGGAGGCCAGCCCCACGCTCGCTGAGCGCAGTGCCACTGGCTGGTCTGAGCTTCAGAACACAGAGGACTCCACGTGGCTGGGTGGGAAGTTCCCCTCTGAAATCAAGGCAGCTCCTCTGGCAGCACCCAGATTCCATACCCCCATACTGGTGAGGCCGTGCAGGAGGCCCAGGACCTCGGCAGCTAGGCCCTCCCCGTTCCCTTGCTGGTGGAAAGCTGGAGACACTTGGACACGTTTCTCCACAAGCTCTTTGGCTTCCTCTGGCTGCCCGATTTCCGTGCTAGCAGGAGACTTCTAAAATGGCGAGTAGCTGGTTTCCTTGGTGGAAACACGAGGATGATGGCAGTATTAAATACAGTTGTAACTGAAGAACAAACAGTTGTTGACGACAACGCAGTGAAGCACCACACACACGTACGCAGATGTACGCCTTCACCTTTGGACTCACATGTGCACAGACTCCGGCGATGAGGGCCAGGGCCAGTCTGCAGCTTCCCCAGAAATCTGAGCCAGCCTCAGCCCTGGCACTTCTGACCTGGGCGCCGGGGGCCAGTGCGGGCCAGTCCTTTTATGAGCATCCTCCTCCTTTCAGGAGCTTAGCTCAGACCTGCCAAAGGAAGACGCTATAGCTTTTAACTCATAAATAAGATCCTGTGGGTGGCACATAAAGGAGAAATAAAGGAGGCAACTATTTGGTTTGTGAAAGGCTTGCAGGGAGGACGCCAGCTGCTCTTTGCACAAGTGCCACTTGGCAGGTGCAGACGGGTGCTGTGTGGCGGTGGGCAGGACTTGGCCCCATGCACACAAGTGTCCATCAGACTGTGCCACATCTGGGACTGCTGATGGGCACACGCATCCGCCAGAGGTGTCCTGAGAAGAAGTGTCTGTTGCAAAATAATAGTTAATAATAAAAATAAATCCTTGGGCACTGGGAGTGAGGAAGCAGGACCGGTTAGCCAGGTTGGCCTTGGGACTCTCTCAAGGCTTCCTCCAGTTTCTGCCTAAACTTGTCATACTTCTTCTGCACTTGTTGGATTTTGTCCTGCTCTTCTTTTTCCAGGATCGTTAGGAAGTTCTGGAGCTCGGGGATGGAAAAGGCATCCCACTGTGAAGCGAGAGGGAGAAGCAGGGAGAGAACGAATAGGAGACGGGTTAGAAGTCACCCAACCCGAGGGGCCCTGCTGCTCAGGCTCACAGCTGCGCATGGTCCGCTACTGAACAGGCAGGTGCAGTGAGCAAAGCCTGGCTTTCCCGTGTCATATTAGCAACACATTTTCAAGTCCTTATGTATCACCAGCAAGATGTTATCTATGAGCTGATTTTTAATATTATTAGTCAGTAATCTTAAATGTTCTCTGTAGCAGTTGAGATCTTAACAGTGATGTTGGGGCCACCCAGGCCCCTGGCTGATCTGCTCCGTCTGTCTGTGGGATGACAGGAGGCTCCCCACATGCAGACCCTCAGGATTTGGAGGAGAGCTGGACTTGGGCTCAGGAGGCTGAATTTCAGCCTAAATCACCCTGTGACCTTGAGCTCATCACCACCCTCACCCCCTGCCCTTCTCAGCCTGTTTCCTCATCTGCTGGCAGAGAAGATAATGAGAGAACATAACCCACAAAGCTCTGCAGAGCTCCGCTGGCCCAGGCCTGCCCCGATGGCCTGGCCTTTCGGGCTGACCTAGGAGCTGAGGCCCCTGGGGGCCAAGGGTTTGGACCCCTAAATTCTTGGAGCACATAGGAGTGGTGAGGTTTATCTGGTCTCATCCCCACATTGCAGAGATGAAAAAAAAAAGTCCATTCGGGGAAGGCACAATAACCACGATCACAGAACTTGAGGCAGCATAGCCAGAAGCAGAGCCCAGGCCTCGGTACCCCCAGGCCCACCAGCTGTCCCCTGGGCCACGTGCTCCAGCCTTTCCAGTGGAATACTTCCCCAAACAATCAGATCTGCCTGTGTGAAGTGGGGAGAAGGGTCAGAGCCCCACTTGCCTAGATCCCCCACATCTCCAAAGTGACCCGAAGACTGCTCTGCCAATCCTGAGGCCTCCACTGAGCGCCGAGTGACAGACACCGAGAGGCTCCCCTGCTCTCCGTCACACGTCTCCACCTTCCCAGCGTCCCATGCGTCTGGGGCATCTGTCTGGGTTCCGCCCGTTTTACACCACCAGACTCCTCTAGGGCGAGTGCGGTCAATGTTTAAGAACCAGGGAGAGCCGAGACCAGTTTGGCTCAATGGATAGAGCGTCGGCTTGGGGACTGAAGGGTCCCGGGTTCGATTCCGGTCAAGGGCATGTACCTTGGTTGCGGGCATATCCCCAGTAGGGGGTGTGCAAGAGGCAGCTGATCGATGACTCTCTCTCATCGATGTTTCTAACTCTCTATCTCTCTCCCTTCTTCTCTGTACAAAATCAATAAAATATATATTTAAAAAAAAAAAAAAAAAGAACCAGGGAGAGACAAAAGGCTCAAACATCTCTCTCTGGTGCTTCTGGGCCTCAGGGCACGCTGGAGCGAAACCACCTGGGCTTACCCAAGGAGTTCCAGTGCCCCTCCACCTGAGCTCTCAGAAAAGCAGCACACGAAATCCTCTTTCCACAGACCTTGCCAGACACAGGCCCAAACTCGCTGCCAACCTGGCTTACACCCTGGACCTGGGCCCGCACTTGCCCCAGCTCCACTCCTCCAGCCATTTCCCTGCTGCACCTGTGCCAGGCAGCGAGGACACACCCCTGCGCCACCCGCGGTGCCCTGGAGCTGCGTCTGTGCAGCTGCAGAGGGCCCATCCTACCTCCACCTCCCCAGTCTCGTTCTCCTTGAGCACAAAGCTGAGGACATCCGTGTCGGGCCCAGCCAGCAAGCGCAGGTAGAGGGGGCAATCAGCCACGGAGAGCTTCTGGAACAGCACTGCGAACCAAGCAAACGAGAAGGGGGCTGGAGCCGGGCTGGGAGAGGGGCAGGCCCTGCTGGGGTGGGGGACTGGACAGAACGGTGCTGATAACAGATGGAGTGGTCCTTTCAACCACAGAATGAACCTGACAAGAATATTCGGGGAGTGCTCGATCCCCAGTAGGGGGGCGTGCAGGAGGCAGCTCTCTCATCATTGATGTTTCTATCTCTCCCTCTATGAAATCAATCAAAACAAGAATACACAGGGAGTAACCTTTCATCTCTGTGAGGGGGAAGCATGTTTCCATGCGGTGGGGCTCCCACTCATTCCAGATTAGGAGGTGGGAGCCCGGGTGTGGGCTTCCTGAGTCACACATGGAGCGAGGGGCACAGGGAGGGCGTGAGCTGCAGCCTGCTCCCAGCCCAGCATGCGTGGCCCACAGACCTGCTGCACACGGATGGCCTGGCCTCACTGCGGTGCCTGCCTGCGAGGGCCACTCCCCCCCCCAGCCCCCCGAGGGTGGGGCCACAGACAGTTAGGAAGGAGGTTTCCTCCCACTCCCATACCTTGCCCATCCTTGTGTATCCGCTTGAAAAGTGCAAACTTCTGGGGATTGTCCACGACCATGAACTTTTTGAGCAGTCCCTGGATGACCTCGCTGACCGTGGTGGTGCTGCTGATGTGCAGCTGCTTGATGGCATCGAGTGGCAGGTAGAAGGATGTCCGCTTGTCCGTGGTGGCCGCCAGGTTCACTTCCTTGATGGCGTCATAGATGGACTGGGGCCGGATGCCAGCGGGCACTGTCACAGGCCGCCGCAGTTTCAAATGCACTTTGATGAAACCCGTGTAGGTGCCGTCTTCACTCTGCTCGTTGAGGAGGGTGGGTGGGGGAACAACAGATGGGGTCAGGGAGGGTCTGCCTTACACACGGTCCTTGCCACTGCCCTGGGCAACCCCCACATGTCTCCCTGAGTTCCTTCCTGCCTCCTTTAACCTAGGGGTGCCCACTGGGTCCCAAGAAGGCCCACAGTATGTAGCTACCAGGAAGCATATTTGGGGCAGCTGTAGCTTGTCCCCAGAGCTGCCTGCCCCAAATCTGCCACCAGTCAGATGCTGATTGCCTTAGACAAGTCCCTCCTCTAAGAGGCAGGGTCTGAGCGGTCTGCTTCTAAAACCCACAGCCTGTAAGACAAACCCAGGCCCATCTGTGACTGGGTTTAATGGGGCCTCATTTGGTTGAAGCCCCAAAGAACCAGTTGCTGCCAGCCTCCAGCAGGGGGCAGGGTTCTGCCACTTTCTCCTCCCCTCCCCACTGAACATGGCCTTTCTGAGCATGGCACAAAGTGGGCACCCCACCACCTCTACGCCCAAGCTCTGCCCAATCCAAGGAAGCTTCCCCAGACACAGGATGTACCCGTGCAACCAACAGGGGCTGCAAACACCCCTTGTCCAGGGCTTCCTGAGGCCCAAGCCGAGCCAGGCCCTCAGTCACCGTGTATCTCCCTTTTACCGTAAAACTCAGAGAAGTTAAAGTCTCCCAAGTGGACAAGGAAAGACCTAGAGATGGGATCTGTGTCTTACTCTAAAGCCCATCCTGTTTCTCTAAAGTACGGGGCCCTGGCAGCCTTCCACAGCCCCCGAGGCCTCCAGAGGCCAGAAGGAAGGGGACGCCAAGCGGGGAGCCCCAGAATCCAGAGGGAGTGCAGAGGAGCAAGACGGGAGAAGGGTGTGGAGAGGCCTGGGGGCACGGGTGGGCAGGCCTGCTCACCAGCTTCATGCCCAGGCAGTTCTTCTCTCGGCTGTTGTAGCTGGCGATCTGCTGCTTGATCTCCTGCAGCGTGGGCGGGCACCGCGGCTCCTCCGCGGGTTTGCAGACATTCTGGAACAGACACGGCGGCGGCGGTGAGGTTGGTGTACATGGGTCTCAGGATTCAAAGGGGAAGGCCATGCGCTCCCCCCTCCCCGCCCCAAGGCCTCTGACCCAGCGGAAGCGAGCAGCCCCACGCAGAGACAATGGATGGTGGGACCATCTATCTGCTAGACCTGGAGCCATTACTGTCTGCTGCTCAGGTGTCCACAGCAGATGCAAGAAAAAATGGGTCCCCACGCTGTCTGTCTGACCGTGGCAGCCAAGAACGAATGGGGAATACGGGAAAGAACATGGAATTTCTGCAACTCAGACACAACTTTGTAAGCAGTGAAGAGCCTGTTTTACTCCAAAGAAGAACCTGAAATATGAGTTTACGAGAGAAGTACTGAAAATCACTCCCTTGCCCTCTGGCTGATTCACTTTCTTTTAAATATGTATTTTTAAATATATGTTTTATTGATTTTTTACAGAGAGGAAGGGAGAGGGATAGAGAGTTAGAAACATCAATGAGAGAGAAACATCGACCAGCTGCCTCCTGCACACCCACTACTGGGGATGTGCCAGCAACCAAGGTACATGCCCTTGACCGGAATCGAACCTGGGACCTTTCAGTCCACAGACTGATGCTCTATCCACTGAGCCAAACCGGTTTTGACTGATTCACTTTTTAAGGGTTGAAACTAATTAAAACTCAGCCAGTTTAAAAAAAAAAACAAAAACACATGGCTTTAGGGTAGAAACAGAGGCCAAATCCCAGCAGTGCCACCGCCTCACCCACCATCCCTGGGGAAGTAACTTCAATCTCCTTCAGCTTCAGTCTCCTCATCTGTGAAATGGGAGCAATACCTCTCCCTTGGGCTTGTTGTAAGAACAATGTGAAAGTGCCCGTCCCACAAGCATTGACTTTGAACTCCGAGAATCAGCAGAGCTCTTTTGCTGACGAAGGGTTGCTATAGAAAAGATGCTGTTAGATGTTATGGAGGATGCAAAGAAATGCAAGCATGCTCCATCTCCTCGGGGAAGTAACAGTGGAGGTGGGGAGACCTGAATGTGCACGGATGCAGCATGTGCAGACCCAATGACAGCAAATCTCCCAGGCTCAGAGCCCGAGGGCACGGGGACATGCGCTCAGGCCCCACATCGTAGGAAGTACGTGTGCATTTATCAATGAATGAGGGCAGTGGTGGGGGCTGGGCTGTAGCCCTCTGTGATAATTGAGGGGATGAACCTCCTTTGTTGGGGGCGGAAGGACACCCAGCATTCACTCAGCACTTGCTCTGTGCCTGCATTCGGCATGCATTGCCTCACTTAATCCTCATGAACCAAAACTCTGTGAAACAGTGTACTGCCCATTTTACAGGTGGATTGTGGAGAGCAAGAGATTAGCAACTTGCCTAAAGCCACAGTCAGTGTGTGCAGAACTGGAAGGAAAGCCAGGTCTGTTCTGTTGTGCTCTCCCCGTGACGTCATGACTTCTTCTCCCCTCTCCCCCACCCCCAGGAAGGTAAAGGGCAGACAGAGCTGAGGTATGGAGGTCAGTGTTCTTCACACCGTGGAAAGGGTCCCTCAGTCAACCCCCTGGATTTCTCTCACGTTCATTGTCAACCACCTTCCCAGTGTTTCCTCCTAGTCTGAGCGTGGCTGGGAGTGCAGGAGGAGCCATAATTTGGGGGAACAAATGACTAAGGAGGTTGGTTGGTCAAAACCCACCCAGAATTTGCCTGATCTCAGAAATCTACCCAATTCAGGGAGGGTCAGGGCTGAGGAGAAAAGAGGCTGAGGGGGACAGGTGATCTCTGGGCTGCCTCCCTAACACCATCCAACACCATGCCGTGGGCGTCGGGTTTGGCTGGGGAATTCACAGCCCTCTACCACCACATCACCACCCCGTGAACACGTCACCACCCCGTGAACACCACGGGCACTGAAGGAGGGGGGACCTGCCCCCTCCTTCAGCCAGCTGTCCTGGGGGAGACACGTCACACTCAGCAGCATCCATCACTTCCTCCTCTCACTTTCCAGTCCCTCGGAGCCCATAACATGCCAAGCTCGGCGGCTGCCAAGGAGCGCCGGCGTGGCCCCCCACCCTCGGCGCGGAGGTGAGCGGACAGCCCTTGTCGGTGACGGCATCTTCCCTCGGCCTGTCCTCCCCCTGCCCTCTTCCTCGGGGATCTTGAGAACAGCACTGTGCCACGTGCTTTCACATGCCCGGACTCCCATATTACACATCTTATTATTGTTTTACAGATTACAAACCCGAGGCTCGGGGAGGTGAAGAACGTGCCTGAGTGTCTTAGGTCCCTCTGCTAGTGAGGGGCTGAGTAGGGCCTAGAACCAAGTCCACCTGAGGCTGAAGCCATGTTCGTCTCCATCACCACGTGGCCTCCTAGGACAGCCTCTTCCGCTGAAGGGGCTGCCCCTTCCCCCCACTGGCCCCTCAATGATCACCGAGGTTCCATGCCACATGGCTGGAGGCGCAGCTGCTACACGAAGGCCCATCCATTGGCCTGTGAGAGGCTCACCCAGGGAGCACTGGACCCGTGGGTCAGGCCAGAGGCTCGGCCCACAGCCGGCTCCTGAGAGGACGGTAAGAAGAGCTTCTTCTCATCTCTTCAGCCGCCAGGATGGAGGGCCCATCTTTACCTGCTGGACCTTGAGTCCAAAGAAGACCAGCCAAGGGGAACCACCCAGGACACCTCCTTTCTGCTATTGATTCATTCATCCAGGGACCTCAAAACAGAGCTGCTCACCCCTTCCCTGGGCGCCTCTCTGGGACCTGGCCTGCCCGCTGGGAGCTTCCAGTCCAAGGACCCGGGTCCTGTTACTATTCTGCGTTCCGCCCGGCTCTGCAGCACGCAGGCTGCTGCTCAGTGTGAATGGCCTTCTTATATTCATCTATTTAAAAGAGTTAATGGATGGAAAAAAAAAACAAAAAACCTCTAGGTGCTCTGGGAGATCTCTCATAGTTTCCAATCGAACTACAGCCATCTCTCTGCTAGAAAAGGCATCTGTGTCCCCACTTCCACAGACCCGTGTTCCAGGCCTGGTTTTGAATGCAGCCATGGTCAGGACTGCCCCAACCCAGGGCTTCTTCCTGTTCCCTTTCCCTCCGCAGATAACCCATCTTTTCTAAGCTGTTCCCACCGCAAACCTGGGGGAGTGACGCCAGTGGCGCCGCGGGCACCCCCTCCGTCACTGACGCAGAAGACAGCCGTCCAGACCCCACCACCCATCGGGGAATGCCAGGAGCCCTGCGTGGCCAGCACCCAAAATCTCACACCCTGGGATGTCAGCCGCAGGCTGGGCTGGCTGCTGCCCACGCCAGATCTGGCAGACAACGTCTGACCCACGGACCGAATGAGTCACCTCCCAAAATAGGCGAGCCAATCAGCCAGCCAGCCACAGCCACAAGGGCCTGCCAATCCTCTCCCATCCCGGGATGGCACGGAATCTAGACCGGTGATGCTTAAACGCAACTGCACATGCAGTCCTGGAAGGATTGTCAGAAACTCGGCGCCTGCGCTCCATCCTGGACATTTCATTGGTCTGTGGTGCACCCTGGGTACTAGGAGTTTGGAGTCTCCTGGGTGACCCTAATGCGCAGGGCTGTTTGAGAACAACTGGTATTTGCAGACCTCAGGGGTCCGCATCCCGCTGCAGAGGCCTACAGACACCCACTGTCCAAGTATCTGCTGTGCGAACAGATCAATCATATAGTAATCTTGCTCAGCCGGCCGGGCTCAGTGGTTGAGCATTGACCTATGAACCAGGAGGCCACGGTTCGATTCCCAGTCAGGGCACATGCCTGGGTTGAAGGCTCCATCCCCAGTGGGGGGCGTGCGGAAGGCAGCTGATCAATGATTCCCTCTCATCACTGATGTTTCTCTCCCTCTCTCCCTTTCTGAAATAAAAATTTAATTTAAAAAATAATAATAATCTTCAGAGGATAAGGCAAAGACCCCAATCTTTTCACCTGCCAGATTCTTCAGTGCTCAGAGTGAAAGATTTGTCTCTGTCCATGGCACAAAGGTAGGCACCAGGCAGACGGAGTTTGTCTCCTGGGGTGGCCCACGATGGAGACAGAACAGGAAAGTCATTCTTATGATTTAACTAATACTGGTTGTGGCCCATGAGGCATCTCTCCATGGGGGTTTACCTATCTCAGTGCATCTGGCATGGATTCCGTCTGCTCTGATTAAACCCTGGCATTGGAAGCAGATGGTTTAGCTGCTCCCAATGCCCTCAGCACATCCAGGGCATTGCGGGGAGAGGGGATGTCCTGAGCCACAGAAAGGGCTGTGTCCTCTCTTTGCTCTCAAGGCTATTTGGGGTGCAGATGCCTGAAAAGGCTGGGTGTCATGGGTCAGAGCAGAGATGCCTGGTAGGAGAACAATCCTCAACATTTCCTATTAAAATATCCTTAACAACAATATACAAAGCACCATCCCTTGGCAGTCTGGGGCCTACCTCCAAGCAGATTTCCCTTAAGCTGAATTTTTCATTAAGAAAAAGACAACACCGGCTGATGATGTAATCTAAGCAATGATCTGAGGAGAAGAGGCGCTGAGTGAATCCTCTGGCTTTTAGTATCCCCAGGTACACACAAGGCAACCCAGGAACTCTGACAATGAGGGGCCAGTGGTAGGGAGTTGGCCGAGGAGACTGTGTCCCACCCTCAAGGTGAAGCCATCAGATGAACATTCATCCCATCTTTTCTTGACCTAAATCACACAAACCTCATTTCTGTCTAGTCCCTTCATCTGATCGCCCCAGTCCTGAATGATGACGATGATCATCCTCATTGTTATTTGCTGGCTAACTATGTACCAGGCACTGTTCTACTTGCCACCAGCTTATGAGAAACATACCATTATCATGCCCATTTCACAGGCTCGGAAACGGAGCCCCAGCAAGGTTAAAGCAAACACTATAGCACCTGGCACTTAAACATGCAACTATTGATATTAACCTCCAAGTACACCGTCCATCTTGGTTATTCTTCCCAGCTA